ACACACATATCATATACATCTTGAAACGGAAGTAATTATTTATTTCCTTAAAACATAAGATACCCTTTTCTCTAATTGTTATTGATACAGCCCAGAATTCGCAGTACTCTCTTCTACGAGCCTTAAAGATTTGGCTAAAACACTGGCTTTGCCTAATGGCTTTCATCTGCCTTTCCAAGTGATATCAAGTGCCAGCATGCTGTCCCTCAGCCTTATCAGTGACAGGGTCTTCAGAAGGAACAAGCCCGTTAACGCTGAGTCAGTGCGTGCAAGGGGCGGGCCACGTCTGCCAGCTGTTGATTACCTCTTTCCCCGCACGTCTACCCGCCCTGGCTTAGGAAGAGTCAGATCTAATTAAGACCTGTTCTCCTGCCCTGTCTCAGCGCCCGGTGAGGGCTGCCAGGCAACGATGAAGGTTCTCCTACTGAAAGACGCCAAGGAGGAGGACGGTGGCCAGGATCCCTACGTCAGGGTAAGCGCCTTGGTGGGACGTGATGGCCTTACCACGAAATCGGGGAGGCAGAGGGGCAGTGAGCTGAGACTAAGGAATTGTCCCAGAATAATCATTAATGCGATGCCCTCACCCCTGCCCTATTCGCCTAACCACCCCGGCCGGTCCAGACTGTGTTCTTTTACTTGCAGGAATTTGGGTTACATGGACTCGAAGCCACTTTGATCCCTGTTTTATCATTTGAGTTCTTGTCTCTTCCCAGTTTCTCGGAGAAGGTAAGGTCTGTCGGTGTCTGAGCGCTGTGATTTCTAAGTGAGACACGTTCGGTCCCTAGAGAATCCGTCCCAACCCAAGTCGGAAGGACTTCCTTACTCCCCCTCATGTCACCACCAAGCTTTAAAACAGGGCGGCACAGCCTCGCCTGGCTCCAGGATTCACGGCTGTTGGGTTCTCCGCCTGAGCCTCCACCAGCAACTCCGGGAAACCTCCCTTCCACCGACTGACCTCAGTTTCCCCACGTTAGAGGCTGAGGTTGGGCACCTCCCAAGGCCTCCAGCAAACAAGAGGCAGTGTCAGGACCCGAGACCAGGGCTTCTCCCCGCCGTACCAGCTCTGCTGCCTGGCGTGGGCGTGATCAGTATCGCCAGGGACAATCCCAGGAAGCCTCTCGATGGTTCTGATTAGAGATTCGGTGCACAGGCAACCCCACCGTGTGTCCCCAGACACTTCCAGGCGTCTCCCCGGGAGCTCCCTTCTGGACGGGTGGGCCGGGAGCGAGGCTGGCCTCGTGGGACGGGGTCCCCGGCCCTGCTCCCTGGGCTCACCCTCGTGCTCCGCGCAGCACACCCGCCCCTGCCATCTCCCTGTGGAAAGCTGCCTGCTTTCTCCTTTCAGTTTGAGCTGAATATCGGATTATTCATTCAGTTCGACAAACAACGAGCTGGCATCTGTTGTATCCCCCTGCACAGGGTGTGCGTGCCAAGGGCACAGTGTGTGAGGGGCCCAAATTGGCCCTTCTGCTCTTTAAAGCGGGTTATGCTCATCCGTAGCAGCTTCAAAAGGGAACCAGAGACCCCATCGATTGAGAGCCTTTCTAGGACCTCGTGGTCAGAAGCATCCTAGTCTCCATGGGAGCCTCTCCACCACCAGCCCCCTTGCTCCAGGAGGGGTTCTCAGAACGCACTCCGTCCAGCTCTGCTTGTGCAGGGAGCACGGGCTTGGGGGTCGAGAGGTCCCACCACCCTCCCAGGGCTGGTTCCTCAGCTGCTGCAAGCCCGTGTTTCCTCTAGGAGGCGAGAGCGGCTCCCCCATCCCACGGGGCACTTTGGCAGAGGCAGTGAAGGGACATGTCTAGAGCAGCCCCAGTACCTGGTGCAGAATAAATGCTCGGTCGATTTTATCACCGTCACTGTCTTTGCAAACCGGGGCTTCAGCGTGGACATCGCCCCTTGAGTATTCCAGTTTCAACACAGACGTGGGTCAGGTCTCCCCACTGCCTGCACCCCACCCAAGCCCAGGCTGAGTCCCATTGTGCCACCCCGCGTGGCATCTGAGCCGATCGAGGGAAATGCTCTGAATAATGGATCCACCTTTATTCCTAGAGGCCTGGAATAGGTCCAGGCACACAGTCTCAATAAGTAGTGAGTGTATGCATGAGTGGATGGACAGATGGATGGAGGGAGGGACGGATGGACAGGCGGGTAGGATGAATTCGTGTGTGTCCTGCTCCTGCGAGCATTTGGATTCGGGGAAACGTTGGGCTTAGCCGTCGTGTAAAGCGCCTCGTTGTTTGGTGCGCAGCTGTGTCATCCAGAAGCGTTCGGAGGACTCATTTTCACCAGCCCCAGAGCCGTGGAAGCAGTGGAGCTGAGTTTGGGGACGGGCAATAAGACGGAAGGTGAGTGAGGGCCCATTGCGAGTCCGCTGGACTTTTCTTCACTCCCCCTTCTCCCGTCGGCGATGCAGGTTGCAGAGACAGCTACACTTCAGGTTTGAAAACTTGCAGTGAGTTTTAGCTCAGAAAGTATTTAGGTAGCAGGTTACTTCGTGTTCATGTAACCTGCGGAGGGAGCAGAAAATGACCTTTCTTCTTATAAGCCGTCTCTCGATGTCCCTCACAGGACACGTTAACTTGTTAGCCTTCTGACGGGGGTGAGCGCTTGGTGCCACAGACCCTGCCTTACGAGACAGGGTTCCTAAGATGTTCACCTGCCAGGCGGCCACGTCTCTCCTAAGAATATATCAGCCAGTCTTGTCCCTCAAAGCAATGACGAGATGGTCCAACGACATATGAGAAGACAGTGCCTGCCACGCCAGGCACCTAACAACAGGAGCGTCTCTTAGACCCTCTTCCTGCCCCCTCCCCTCTTCATCAGAGCAGATGCACAGAGCCCAGGGTTCGGACTGAACAGCCACCTTCGTCTGTTCGATGGTAATGATCAGACAGCTTCGTGGTAACATTTATGGAGCGCCTACTGTATGCCAGGCTTTATGTTAACTTCACATTCGTTATCTCATTTAATCCAGGGGTACACATACTGTGGCCCTCATTTTACAGATGAGAGAACTGAGGCTTGGGAAGAGTGAGTCCTTGTCCAGGGCCAGGGGCCAGGCAGTCAGACCTGACCAGCTTCAGTTATGGTAATGGGTGGAGACAGCAGATGGGCAGTTAGTTACCAAAGGGCTTTGCAGCATGTTAGGCCTGGGTTCAGATGGCCCTTCTGACCTTGGCAAGCTCCGTGACCTTGCTGAGCCTCAGTTTCGTTGTTTGTGAAATGGGCACAATAATACCAGCCTCACTGGCTCATCACTTCCACGACGAGCTGGCTGGCACTTCGGAGGACCCACTGTGTGCCAGGCACGGGCCCTCAGGGCCTTACCGCTGAGGCAGATACGACTCACATTTGCACTTGACACATGAGGAGCCAGAAGAGCAAAGGGTATGAAGCTCTCCAAGACCACGGGGTCTGTAAGTCGCAGATGTGTGATTCCCGCTTCAGAGCCCGAGTCCCAAAGAGCAGCGTTCAGGACGCTGCCTGGCACATTGAGTGGGCGACAGTGCTGAGTGCTTATTAGTCTCTCAGCTTGCATTTAATTAGGCCTTCGTTATAGCCAGAAGTTCACCTCCTCGGCGATTTCACAGACACGCCTACCTCCTGCGGAAGAGAAGTCCGAGCTTT